TTTGCGTTAACTTCTCCCCCAAGACAAAGTCAAACTAAGGTTGACGAGCTTCATGCACACTCTTTTTCTGAAGTTCATGTTGCTTGCAATGTTATATAGCTACAAGCGCCTAAAATCTTTCTTCCACTACACCAATGAAAATAATCTCCAATTAGCTATACAGCATTCTTTGCAAATTATCCGTTTTGTGAAGATGCCAAAGACCAACATAATTTCACTTGGCCTTCCTTTTTTGGTCAAGAATATAGTTACTCTCTTCCGGGACACCAAAATTTTTAACTTTTTTTCAATCTTCTTCAGGTCCTTTTTGTCCATAGAATGGATCTTCAAGACCGAGAAAAATGAAGCGATTGGTTCGGAAGCGGCGTCGGCAGGACAAGAAAAGCTCAGCAAAGAAGAAGTGAAGACGGTTATGAACTGCCTAGGAATAATCTGCTGTGGAAAACAAGGAGATGATGATCACAATGTTCTTCTTCTTGACCAGATTGGTGAAGAAGAGATTTTGGAAGTTTTTGATGAGGAAGAACCGAGCTTGGAGGAGTTGAAGGAAGCTTTTGGTGTATTTGATGATAACAAAGATGGTTTTATAGATGCCTCGGAACTTGGTAGGGTTTTGTGCAGTCTTGGTTTGATCAAAGAAGAATATTCATCAGGAACCGGTACTGATCATGAGCGCCTAAGGATGATGATAAAAACAGTGGATGAGAATGAAGATGGAGTCATTGATTTTAACGAGTTCCTCAAGTTTATGGAGGATTGATTTTAACAATATGGCTTTGGCCTTTGAGTCATGACTTTGTACTAGCTAACAGCTGCGTGTAATATTTACATTTTATTTCCTTTTAACGGTAGAAGAATTTGTTATCTTTTTGGTTAATAAGAATCCAAATATGTTGTGCAAAAAAATAAAAGAATAAAATGTATGCATTAAGATATTATATAACGATCTTGGTCTCAAGTCAGCAGTAAACTATGGAGATGGCAAACACTTACAAAAGGATTTAGGTGCCTTTTTTTTTTTTTTTTTGCACTAGTATTTTTTATACAAACTTAGTGACATTTGGTTCACGGATTCAGAATTATTCTCGATTTACATGTATTCTTTTATGAGAAAAAATACTGTAACGAGTCACGAATCATAGCAGGAATCCTCGTACCAAACACCCTCCTAATAACTGCTAAAGCCTTGACTCTATTTAAGGGCCATTCGGTTCGCTAATTCGAGTTGAGATGTGATTTTGTGTGAGAGCCTTTTTACTGTAGCAAAAAAGTTAGATGCGACTGTTTCTGAGAGCTTTTTACTGTAACAAAACTTAAATTCTAGACTCGAATCAGCGAAATGAACAGGGCCTTAACTAGGTCGCGAAAAAGTGTTACTGTTTGATGAAAGCTTTATGAAACTGGACATTTAAATTAAGCTTATTTTATGATAGTGGTCAATACATATGACACGTGTATATATTTGTTTCTACTCTCTAAATTAGAAGGAAAAAAAAACATTGGTATAGCGTATAACAAAAAACGTCATTATTATCACCTTGTACACAACATAAAAATCATCATATATCTCATAGACATTATCAAGTAAAACGATTTAAAAAAAAAAAAAGAAAAAAAAAAACATAAAAAGACATTCTTGCTCTCTCATTACAACACCCTAACGTCACGCGTGTTTGTCTTGGTTGTACACTACATCTGTTTTTTTTCCCCCTCTTTTTATGTACCATATATAGTTTTTACATGAGTATTTTTCGCATTTAGTATCAAAACCAACTAAAGTCACCATTCTCTGTGCCTTTGACCGTTACAGACCGACCACAGACCAAAATGAAAGAGATTTTAAACATTGCAATAATGAAATCATATGTTTCCGTTTCTGTGTAACGTAGAGTAATGAAAAACAAGCCATGAGACTGTCTTGACATCTCGGGATATTGAATATCCTAATTTCAAGAATTATGCAATCAAAAATACACAAAAAATTAGTATTATATCGACCATGAATTTTAGGACAAAATCTTCTCATCTTTGACATTTTTTGTAAATAATTTCTTTTTAAGTAAAAAAGAAACCCTATCAGCTTTGTAAATGGGCTTCATAGTCAGGTTGGACCAAGTTAGCCTGTAATCACTAGATTCCTTAGAGCTGGCCATTCCAATATGGATCAACACAGCCCAAATTGGTTTGTATACAGTAGTGGCCTATTATTGTGTTTGATTTTGGGAATTTGGGAAAGGAAAGAAAAAGAGAAAATTGGTAACGCATTGTTCTAAGATTTTTATATTTTACTCTTGACTAATAACTTTTTTAACTAATATAATTCTTTTGTTAAAGGGCATTAATCAACTGTAAAAAAATAAAAATTCAATACACATGCATTCTAAGAAGCATTTGTTTCCTTTTCCAAATGAAAAGAGTACGACTTCTCATAAGGGAAAGCAAGAGATCCTTTGATTGATAGGGCATGTAGAAGATTGTCCGGGGAAAGGAATGGGCTAGGGGCTCATGACACCTTAAAAAGTTTTTTTTGTCCCGATGAGGATTTATTCTCATAAACGCAAATAGGTAGGCCGCATATAGTGGGGCTGCTCTAACACATTTACGCCACACTATTTTCCGGTCCTCCCAAACTTAGATGGAAATAGGAATAGCAATATTTCCCGCGGGTATTGCAAACCCGGAGGCCCGCACCGAATAGGGATGGGGGCGGAAATGGAAACAAAGTCTTGTACTCGAGTCAGAGGCGGAGTAGAAACAATAATGGAGAAGCATTCCCCATCCAACCTCCTCTCTAGTATACATTTTATTTATTTTTCTAAATATATAGTCACTCTTAATCCTAATCTTTATTACTTAGTAATACATATTCTGTTGAAAACTAGTTTGTTTCGTGAAAACACTAGATCTAGATTGAATTTATGATGAATTTCAACTTATTTTTTTGTTTATCCCCGTACCCAAATTCAAAATAAAGATATAATTTATGTCTACTAATCTACTTTTTTTTCAAATAGAAGAAATTTTAAGTAAAAAATATTATATACCTTTAGAAAGACTAATAAGTACATGTAAATAGGACAATGAAATGTGCGCGATAAGTCGTGAAAAGGTCAATATGGACTATTGACAATAAAAAAGTGAACTTTTCCCCTTCTTTTCCATTTGACATAAAAAATAAAAAATAATAAATAATGAAAAAAAAGAGAAAATGGAGAATCATTTTCCTTCTTAAATTTACAATCCTATCATTCCACTCCTTAAACTTATCATATCAAACGACTTTGAAAAATCTTAAAATCTTTCTATTCCTTCACATTCCCTCCCTCCAATATGTCTATCATTTCTTTCTTCCATCTCTCCTCAAATCCTTCTATTCCTTCACATTCCCTCCCTCCTATATGTCTATCATTTTTTTCTTCCATCTCTCCTACTAAACGTACTATAAAAGCTTGTTTGGTGGGTGCAAAAAGTGGAAGGCAGGAGAAGGGTGCAGGATTTTAAGTCCTTTAAAAAATCTCAATTTGATATTCTTAAGGCCTAGCTCGGTTCGCGAATTCGAATTGAGATGTGATATTTTTTAAAAAATTTTAATTGTAACAGAAAAAATTAAATGTGATATTTTCTGAGAATTTTTAACTGTAAAATCTTAAAACTGAAAACTCAAATAGGTAAAATGAACAATGCCTAAATATATATATATTGAGATATTAGAATCAGAAATCCAAATGAAACACAATAAGAGAAATGCTTTTCCCTTCTTTTCTATTTTTCTCATCAGTGTTATGTTTTCTATCATATTTATTTTCTTTTGCTTTTATCATCGTTGTTTTTCACATGTTAGTAGATATATTTATCACCTATATTCATATTCAACAGTAGTACAAAATCACAGAGTAGTCAAATGAGAAAGGCGTTTCCTTTCATTGTGGCAACAGAAATTCGAAAAAGAACATTAAAACCCCACGAGGCAAATAAAGCCAAAATACATAACCTTGCGTTATTACTCAATAATAACTTGTTTTTGTAGTGAAATTGTTGAAAAGAATCTCTAAATACAGTTTTGTGTGTGCGTGGCATGCAATGTATCAGAGTACATGTCATTGTACATATTGTTATGTATATGTGTATATAATAAGGTTTTGATTTAAGGTAACTTTTTGGACTGAATCCAACAAAAGGAAAAAGTATTTTACGACAATTTATAAACAGTAACGACAGCCCCGCACACCCCATGTGGATGGCATGAATTCCTCCTGAGTAAGATTCTGCTGATGGGGAAAGGATGTTGAACAGTTTCTTTCATGTTTGCATAGGAGAGAGAGAGTGAGGGGTGGTGGGTTTGTTCAGTTGCAGAATTTGTGCCTGAGCTTTTGCAGGCCCATGAGAAAAGGATGTTCTGAATAGTTCCAACTTTTGTTTTTGTCTTTGTTAAACCTCATCATTCTCATCATCATCCCCCATGATATACAACTTTTCTGTCACATATTTTCCATTTTTAATTTTCTCTCAACCCTAAATTTCTCTCTGCTATAATTCTTCAGCTTAATTTGCATACCAAATTTGATTAATCAATCCGCAAATCAAAATAAACAATTAATTGGGTAATCCAGTATTTACCCACATAACAAAAAGGGAAACAAACAAAAAAAAAAATGGAGAGGAAAAAAAAGTAACAGCCCTTGCTTAAATATTATATTATATATATCTAGTAATTTATTGCTTCACCTTTTAGAAAGAGTCTCTCATGTGATATGGGAACTTACAAGAAAAAGGTGGGATATGACTGCAAGAAGCTGGTGCAGGTCTTTTTTTCCAATGTCATGCAAAACTAAAACAACAACTCCTTTTTTTTTTTTTTTTTTTTTACCCTCTTACCTCTAATGGTTTCCTCAGTTATGTTGGACCACAACCACATTGAGGCCCTTTCTGATGATTAATTAATAATATGTGAAAATACCTTTTTTTTATCAGCTTTTTTTTTTTTTTTTTTTTTTCCCTCTTCTCTTCTTTTCTCCTCTTCTGGGTTCTAAAAAACTTGCTGTGTCATGTGGCTCCAACCCCAAGGAAGTCTATGAACTGTGGGGGAATGGGAATGCCCTCATCAAAATGCAGGCTTAATCCCACTGCTTCTTCATTCTCTCCTCCTGAGACTTGAGATGTTGAGTTTGAGAAACTTTGCAAGCTTTGTTGATATTGGTTATGATGATGATGATGATGATGGTGATGATCATGATGATGGTGAAAACCAACATCTGTTTGGTTTTCATCACTTGGCCTGTACTCAAAAGACTTGTTCTGGCTTAGCATGTCCATTGTCAAGTCATTGCTCTTGGCACCATCTACAAAGACCCAAGTTATAAATGAGAAGTTAGAGAGAGAAAGAGGGGCTTAAAATTGGCCTAAAAGGGCATACAACAGAAGGGTTTGTCATTGTATCATTAGTCATTTTGCTGTCCAATGGCAAAGAGAGATAAAGAGACATTGGATGGAGCAAAAGAAGAAAAGGAGATACAAAATGGATATTGCAGTGTTTAGTTTATCGGAATGAGAGAAAGAAATGGATCAAAGCACAAAAATGTATTAGAACTTCCAATGGCAAAGGAGGATATATACAAATATATATATATATATATATATACACACACACATATATGAGATAAGAAACTAGCAAAAGGATCAAGATGAGGAGCCAATGAGGAACAGCACAAAATCCCAAATGCAAAAAACTAACACAATAGCAAAATAATAACAACAACAACAAGAGATCATTTAATGAGGGGAAATTTTGCAAGGGGCAGTTAAAATAATCATATGAATGATCAATGTACACACCAGGGAAGAATTCAAAAGGAGTGATCTGGTGGGCACAGAATAATCCACTGTTGGAAGGGACCTTGTTGCTGGAGAATGGTTCTGCACCACCAGTCATGTGGGGTGAACAATTGAAGCAATAGGAAACCCCACCACCATTAAAGCCTCCAAAGGGAAAAGAAGACGCATTGCCAAGACCAGCTGATCCATGAGCTGAGACAATGCTACCAAAACAGTATTGTGGGGGTACTGGTACATCACCTCTTGGAGACGTCTGATGATCTGATATTCCACACACAAAGTTAGAGGAGTTGTTGTTGTTGTTGCTGTTCTCTTGAATATCCATTCTTCTATAAATCGATTGACTCAGTTTTCTCCTCCTATAAGCACTTGATTGTTCTCTATACTTCCTTGCCATGATCACATGCCAATGGTTTTTCACTGCATTGTCAGTTCTCCCTGGGAAAAGCCTGGCTATCATGGCCCACTTGTTGCCATAGATTCTGTGAGCTTGCATTAGTCTCTCCTCTTCTTCCTCAGTGAAAGCTCTTCTGTTGATCCTTGGATCCAATTGGTTAAACCATCTTAGTCTGCAACTCTTTCCTTCAAAACCCACAAAAAAAGAAAAAAACAACAATTAATAACGCGAGAAATCGCGAGGTTCAAACATTTTTGCTACGCTATTTTCTCTCTCATAAAAATGTTTGAACACAAAAACAAATTGACATTACATATATATATGTACATATATGTAATGTTTTAGTACTTTTTCTTTGCTTTTTTTTTTTAAATTATTTTTTACCTGATCTTCCTTCCAACTTCTCAGCAATAAGATTCCAGTTCTGAGGGCCATAAAGAGCAACAAGTTCTTTGAGCTTTGCATCCTCAGCAGGTCTCCAATGTCCTCTGGCGCAGAGTTTTGACTGACCACTATCTGTCTCCTTCCCATTGACCACCCCAATATTCTGATCATGACTAACAAGATTTTCATCTTCCAAATTTCCTTTGTTTTCTCCAAACAATATTCCATCACTGCTCTCACAGCCCTTACCTTCCATAACTTCACCGCTACTGTTTTGGTGCTCCTCAAAGCTTTTAGGAACAAAGTTGCCCATCAAAGGAAAACCCCAGAAAGCCCTCCCATTTTCCACTACTATTTCTGAACACTTCGAAGCAAAACTCTCCTGAGAAGAAACTGATGATACTAGTGATGATTTGTAGTTTGGGCTTAGAGAGAGAGAATTCATGTCTGCATAGACCAACCCCATTGAAGAGCAGTGAGAATTATTATAAGGAGAAGAAGTACTGATGTGGCCGTTTTGGATTTGTTCTTCTTCTTCTTCTTCTGCTGCTGCTGCTGCTGTTGTTGTATATATAATACAATTGTTGGCCATGGCTTCATTTTCTTCTGACATGTAATAGAGAAAACTACTGTTACGAAGTCATCTCCATGGCCGGGAAAGGAGGAAAACAAATGTGTGAATTTCTTTTTTAGAATTTAAAAAAAAATAATAAGATGACAAAATTTGACAGAATGGTGACTGTGCTGATTATAATAAGGAGAGAGATTTTTCTTTTTTCTTTTTTTTTTAATGGTGAGAACTGAGAAGAGAGAACTTGCAAAGACACAAACCTTTGTTCTCTCAACGAAGTTTGAGAGAGAGAGAGAGAGAGATGGATAGAGACAGAAAGAGAGAGTGCTTTAAAGTAGTTAACAACCCTGACTGACATTGAGCCTTTAATTTAACAAGTTCCCCATTATTAATACTAGTGTCCGTCTCTTCTTTTGACAAAAATCCCACATCACTCACACGTGTGAAAATGAAAAGGGACACCCCCCAAAAGCACTCTCTCTCTCTCTCTCTCTAAAACACACTTCACTCTCACTCTCACTTTCTCTCTCTATTCATTGGGTTGAAGGGTCTTAGGCTGTCTCTCTATAAATTGACAAGAAAGACTCTTAATGTGATGTGTGCTAGCTTGGGGTTGTGCAGGGCTAGACACCTTTCTTTTCAAAGTCACACTGAAGAAAAATTATGGCAATTGGCTTTCACACAAACTACACCTCTTGTCGGACGCTAGACGCTTAATGAGAAGAACCCATCATCGTGATATCCAGATAATGATCCTTTTGGCTTCCTCTTTTCTAACTAAACTAGATAGACTAGACTAGACTAGACTAAAGACTAGATTGTGTGTTTTCTTCCCTTAACCTTTGGATTTCAATTTAACCACCTGAAGTTGACCCCAACAAACAAAACCTTTTAGGCGCCAAGGATTTATTTTCCTGTAATTCACATTCTTGATCTCAAATGTCCCTACTTCCAAAACTAAAAAAAAAAAACTAGGATCCTTAGGCGGTAGTAGGATCTCCTAACGGTATTGTATACTTTTTATTACTTAATATAATTGAAATTATATTTAAATAAAAAAGGTTATGTAAAATAGATCATTTTTTTTTATATAAAACTAAGGTTAAAACAAAGACATACCAACAGGTCATTTTGTCCCAGTACTACCTTAGAAATCTCCAACCAATTTTACTAATCTTAAATAAGGCTTTCAGCTAGTTTTACCTTTGACCGTTTAACGTCATTCCTAAACCAACCCTCTTAAAACCCTTTTTGGGGCTTTCTTTTGTGCAAAAGGAATTAATCTTCAAATAGTCAAGACTTTTGTGAATATTTGTTGTTATAAGTTATCCCATATCAGGAACCGGAGATTTTTATATAGTCAAAGGCCCCGTTTATTTCACCGATTCGAGTTTAGAATTTGAGTTTTCCTACAGTAAAAATCTCTTAAAAACAATCACGTTTAATTTTTTTATTACAATAAAAAATTCTCACATGAAATCACATCTAAAATGTACTCGGTTTGTGTGAATGATAATTGTGGCAAAATCCCAAGTGTTTTTGTGATTATAGGGTTCTGAACAATTTCTCATGCTTGGTTAATAGCTACAGCTACAAGAGCACATGTACATGCATAGAAATAGTCAATATAGCATATCTACATGCACTTTTTATGGTCAACAAAACTGTTTGTCTGTTTTTATTTTTCGTGATAGTATGGTTTATAAAATCATGTTACCAATTACAATACTAATAATGGTAACAATACTAAAGAGAAATTTGCATAGAATAATTTTGTTCTGGTATTCAGTTTCCACCTCACTGGAAACCCAATTGCAGACGTTTATTTATTGTTTGCTGCAATGTACTATGCAGGCTGTTCAAAACTGACCATTTTGGGTCAAAAACTTTTGAACAAAATTCAGACACCATTTTTTAATTGTTATGCGCAAGAAAAACATCTCGACCTACAAACTATCTTGGCTCCGTTTGTTTTACTTTTTTAGTTCAGTTAAATTCAATTTAAACAGTGAGCACAGTTTAAACTCGTATTTAATAAGCACGCAATTTGAATTATATTTTCCGTTTAAACTGAGTTAAATTGTCTAAGTAAGAGTTTAGCTCTCCTAACTCAACCGTTAAATTCAGTTTTTAACAGTAAAAAAATACATACTCTCTACTTTTTATACCTAAAAAACCATAAATTTAAATTTTATTTCCTATTATATTAAAATTTTAACAGCACATTTAAATGTTAATTCAAATTACAATTTAAACAACGCAGTTTAAAATTTTATGTTCAAATAAAAAAATCTAACCAATAAGTCCCGTTTATTTCACCGATTCGAGTTTAGAATTCGAGTTTTGTTACAGTAAAAAGCTCTCAGAAACAATCACATCTAATTTTTTTGTTACAATAAAAAATTCTCATACAAAATTACATCTCAACTTAAATTATAAATTCAAATCAATAAAATAAACGATCAATCAACAAATTAAACAGGGTCATGTATACGTCTACGAAAGGATAGAGTAGTTCTAGCAGGGAAAAAGAAAAACATTTTTTTTTTTTTTTTGGTGTCAAGTTCTCTGAAACCATAGGGATCGGAATGCACGCTTTTGGGTCACATCTCACTCACTATTTTCTAGTCTCTTCAAAGTGTTCCCTCTCTGTCTCACTGTACTCATTGCCCATGACATCTATTATGTTTGCATGTACAGACCCTATGCATACGCGTATCCTTCCCACGTTCCTTCGGTTGATGGTAATATTTTACATAAAAACATACTTGGTAATGTACTGTATTTAGGTATATATACATACACACACTTGGGCGTGTTTGCATTTCAATGTTGAGTCAAATCATAAATTTTTTTCTTGAATGACGAGTAAATAATATTAAAAAAAATCGGTTCATTTTATTAATTTAAGTCTGTTTATTTCATCAATTTAAGTTTAAAATTTAAATTTTGTTATAGTAAAATGCTCTTAAAAACAGTTATATATTTTTTTGTTAAAATAAAAAATTTTCACATAAAGTCACATATCAATTCGAATTAAAAATTTAAATTAATTAACTAAACGAACTCATAATTATTCACAATATCCAACTAAATTGATATTGTATGAGCATCTCATCCTATACCAAACTCCTATTAATAATAAAAATATGGAAAATAACAGTAAGAAAAGTTTATCAAAGAGACGAGAATGCATAATCAACAATTGTACAAATCGAAAATCAACAACTCATAAGAGAAAATTATCAGAACTATAGATCACAATTATTCAACAAGATTTATTTGTAATAGGTCAAGCCAAGACTAGCTATAAGCATGGACCCTACGGACTGAGCCTCGTTAAAATTTTGAAGTATAAAACTCAAAATGAAAAACTAAAGAAGAAAAAAGAGTACTAAGTCCCGATCTAACAAAATTTGTAACAATATAAGCCCAATCATATCTATACTCACTAAAGGAATGCAATTTAATATAGCATATAACAAATTTACCACAATAAATAACATTGCATTAGAACATTTTTAATGCAATGATATAATTTATGTGTCAATTACAAATTTAACATTTGAGTGTAAAAAAGACTCCCCAATACAATACTATTTGTTGTGTCAATTTTCCATATGCTATATTTTATGGTAAATTTTCCACTAAATATAGCATATGAGAAATTTGACATTTTATTTTTATTGGTTAAAATGTTTACTTTATCATGTAATCATTACAACTTTTACATTTTCTAATTATTTTAAAACTAAAAGTTTACTTCTACAACTTTCAAAACTTAATGATTATAGGAAAAATAGATTTAGCATTTCAAATAACATTATGCATTAGAGCAAAAATAAAAATAACATACCATATCATACTTTTTGATGTTAAATATACAATTAGCATTAGCATTTGCATTGAAGATAGTTTTAGAGAACTTTTTTACACTCAAATTTCAAATTTGTAATTGGCACATCATTAATTTATAGTATTACATTAGAGATGCTCTTAGTGTGTCATGCTAAATTTTAGCATTTAAGTAGAAAATTCACTCTCCAATACAATCCTATTCTTTGTCCTAAGGTAAAAGTAAAAGTAAAAATTTACTTTTACAACTCCCAAACCTTAATGATTATAGCAAAAACAATATTATGCATTAGAATACAAATGAAAATAACAAATTAACTATATTGAGGTCATATTTTTTAGTTTTAAATATGCAATTGGCATTAGCATTTACAAAGAAGATGATCTTAGGACACTTAAAAAAAGACTGTAATCTTTTATTTTATCTATTTAAATAACAAATATATAATGTTAAATGCTTTGAACAATCAAGTTATGGTTGCAAGAATAGATTAACAGAAAATCAATACACGTGACTTTATCTTACAGTGTAGAGTTCAAATACCTCACCTCAAAATTAAGGAAAAGTTGGTTGTGTTTCGCACACAGTATTTTTATATCCTACCTCCTTTTTAATAATGGTATTCTCTACGTTTTTTTTTTTTTAGTTTTTATTTGTGGTATTATCTTGTGAGAGTAAATAGCAAATTTAATTGGTCCAACGTTAATACAACATACAATATGAGGAAATTACAAGTATCATTTTTCTACCAAAAACATAAAAACTGCGTGTCATTTCAATATTGAAATGATGAACTATTTAGTACTTTACGAGAAATGAAAACTGATTTATACAAATTTCTTGATACTGAGGAGAGTAAAATTAGAGCTTCGGAAGCCCCTCTTTATCTCTTGCATTGTTATTTTTTGTCTTTCATAATTCTCATTCCTTTGTTACCAACGTATGAGATTCTTTGATGTAATAATGGCTAAAAAAACAGAACGTTAAGAACCTGCAGGGCTAGCTCTCCCTCCACCATTGTCCTATTTATATCCAACTA